TTTTTTTTTTTTCTCTTTTTGAGACAGGGTCGTGCTATGCAGTTCAAGCTGGCCTTGAGCTCACTTTGTAACCCAGGCTGGTCTTAAACTCACAATGATCCTCCTGCCTCAGCCTCCCGAGTACTGGGAATACAGGCATGCACCACCATGCCCAGCTCCATTTTCTTTTATTCAAAAACTAAATCAAATTTATTATTATTGCATTTAAAAATTGTAGAACTGTTGTGTTCTAAATTTGTTTTTTAGAATATTTTCATCACTCCAAAAAGAACCTCTGCCCACCAGCAGACACGCCAGTACCTCCCAGCTTTTCCAGCCCTTGGCACCATTGATTTATGTATTGTTCTGTAGAGCTGCTTTTCTGTACAGTTTGTTAAAATGCAGTAATAGGTGACATCTTGTACCTGGCTTCTGTCACTTGACATAATATTTTCAAGCTTTATCTATATGTGTATTTCAACATTTTATTTCCTTTTACTGATGAATAATATTCCATTATATGGACATATGGCATTTTATTTATTCCTAGTTGATAGAGATTTGGGTTGTTTCTACTTTTTAACGCGTATAAATATTGCTGATATGACCATTCCTAAACAAATTTTTGTGTGGCCATGGTTTTATCTCTTCAGTGTACCTCTAGCAGTGGAATTGCTGGGTAACATGACAGCTCTGTTTAACATTGTGGGGAGAGTGCTGGTCTGTGCCTCGCTTTCTTCATATGTTGATGGGAATAAAAATACCTACATCAAAGTATTTTGTGAGAGTTCAGTTATAATAAGGTTACAAAGGCACAATACCAAGCCCCAAGCGATTGATCAATGTGTTTCGAATTGACAAAGTGGACAGGCAAGGGAAAGAGGAGAGCACACTCAGAGGTGCTCTGTCTCTTCAGTCCCTGGGGCACAGGAGAGAGGTGCGCGGGCCAGGGAAAGGCAGCGGGCGAGCCTCGCTCGGGCTGCGACCTCTCCCCTTCCGTCAGCAGGAGTCGCTGTAATTCCAGGCCCCAGGTCGTCAGGCCCTACTGCGGGTAACAGAACTGCATTCGGAGCTGCAGCTTGCCCCTCACGGGATGTCACTGGGCCAGGGCTGGCATCCGTAGCTACCGCTGTGCTTGGAGTGTGTCTCTCAGGCGCGGGGCAGTCTCAGGAATATCTCATCCAGGCTTTACCAGAGCCTGGAATAATGCCACCGCCCGCTGGGGAGTGAAACTCTCTGGGGCCTGTGAGACTCCGGGCTGAGCTACATCGAGTCTTCCTCCCCTCCAGGCCCGGGTGTGCGCAGACTCCATCACCGTCCTCTGATTCCACCCTTGCTTGTAGGTCTATTTTAATCGTGACTGCTCCCTGGCCGTCTTAATTATACAACTAAATAATAGGGCCTGAAAACGCTTCTCTTTATAAAGACTGCTCCTGTATTACGGCTTCTTTCTCTCATCTTATCCACTTTTCCTCTCTTTGGATCACGCGCACTGCTATAACACTGTGCTCCAGGGTCTTCAAATTTAAAAATAAAATTCTGCCATTGACTCTGTTGTTCCCAGCAGCGACTGTGTCGTTCCTCTGCCCGCTCAGCCCGCGTGTGGGAAGTGTGTCTGTAGCTGCCGCCTCCTCTGCCCGGGCCCCAGCCTCTCTCTGCTGACCCGTTCTTGCCCAGTTCATGCCCTCCGCCCCACCGCGACTGTCCACAGCTCCCTGTGCCCGCCATGTCTTCACAGCACACGCAGAAGCTCACTCCCGTTCCACTGGGGCCACGCCCGCTCCGGGGAGTCCGTGGCGTCGCGTTCGCTAGGATTTTGCCAACCCTTAGGGCCACTCTTGCTCAGTCTGTCTCTTCCCATGACCTCTGAAAGGCTGGCAGTTGGAGAGCATGGACCCGAGTCGTACCGTCGCCTCTGTCCACATTACCTGCTTTGCTGGTCTCCTTGCTCTGCCTCACAGCTTGAAGACCACTTACAGAGTGGCGGCCGCACGCGGGTATCGCCGCCCTGGCCTCTCCTTGGACGTCCAGTCTCACGCAAACAAGAGTCAGGTGGGTGCTTTCAGCCCTGTGTCTTTTAGCGTTTCTTTCCTAGGCTGACTTCTCCATTCTTCATCCAGTAAATGGAGTCAGTCACTCCAAGTAGAACCGAGAAACGCTCATCCTCGGTTCTTCTTTCTCACTCCTCTCTCACCCACTCAGGCTTTCAGGAACTCTTGTCGTTTGTACCTTTAAAACTCGGCCACGTCTGTCCCCTTCTGTTTTTCTCTACATCTGTGACCCTTGTTTATCTGGATCAATGCGCGGCTTTCTAAATGCGCCCATTCTTGTCCTGTGCAGTGATTTTTCTCCACTGAGCAGCTAGCGCTTAGTTTTAGAAGCTAAATCAGACCATTGGTGCTCCTTTTTTTTCTTTTCTTTTTTTTGTCTTTTTGAGACAAGGTTTCACTATGCATTTCAGTGGCCTTGAACTCACTTTGTAGCTGAGGCTGGCCTCAAACTCACAGCGATTCTCCAGTCTCAGCCTCCCAAGTGCTGGGATTACAGGTGTGAGCCACCATACCCGGCTTCATATGCTCCTTCTTAAAACTTTTCCTGGCTTCTTACTTTACCTGGAGAAAAACCTAGACCCCCCAAGCTTTGACTTCACCAGGAAATGTCTAGATCCTCAGTGACCTCACCCCAAACCATTTGCCCACTCCCCCTGCTCTGGCCACACTGGCTGCTCCCGCCTCAGCCGTCTCCCCTTGCTACAAAGCTTCGTTCCTGCGCATTCCTTATCTCCTCGGCCGCTTCACTCATCTCCAGCACCTCGCTCCTTCATGCTGTAGCACAGCCTTTCCCGTCTCTGGTAATTTCTTGCTTATTTGCTTGTTTATTGTTTGCCTCCTTCCCTCGAATGCACGGTGGATGGAAACAGACGCCTGCTGTGTGTGATACTGTCTCCCCAGGGCTGGTTACGTAACTGAGCACACAATCAGTGCTCCCAGGTATTAGACTTACAAAGTAGTAATAAACTAGCCTTATACTATGGATGCTGCTAAAAGCCTTGGGAATTCTGGATCAGAAACAAAGAACTTTGTAATTCCAACACTCTGGGAGGCAGGAAGATTTCCAGTTCAAGCGGAGCATGGGTAGTTTAATGGCTGGTGAGAGAGACCCTGTTTCAAAATAAAAAATTAGCAAAGGGCTGTAGACTCCCACATAGCAACAGCCACGAGCATCAGCGTGTTCCCATCAGGCTCCCCCTGCCTGCACCTCACACAAGACGGGCACACTGAGCACACGGCGAATCTGGGCTGCAGGTGAAGGACGCTGAGAAACCAGAGCTCTTACAGTGAGCAGCAAACCAGCTGCCCTGCGTTCCCAAGGAGCGCTTACTCCATCCCTCAAGTTGTGTGCAATGAGCCCTGAGCGGGGCTGGGGTAAAGAGTGACTGGGCCTATATCCTTGACATTCTCAGTAAGACAGGTGGAAGCAGGAGCGTCCCACCGAACGTGTGTCTGGAAGAGTTGTGCAGTAGATATCTGCTGGATGAATGAGTGAAAAAAACATTGTCTAGGGGCCAGGTACCAGATTTTGATGCTGGGTTAGATCTTCCGGCCTCAGAACAAACAAAAACCCTGCCTACGTGCCTGTGACTTACTCTTGGGTTCCTGCCTCCTCATTCTCGGCTACACTAAAGGAGGCTCTCTTCTCTGTGGAATGAGACAGATACCATCTTCAGCTGGCTGGCTGGAGCCCGCCCCAGCCCCCACTCCCACACCTGCGGCTACCTTTGCCTCTTCAGACTCTGGCCCCTCCCACCGGTTAAGTGGCCCATGATTGGTCTTGTCACAACACACCATTGTTGGGTGGTTCCTTTAGAAATGGCTCGCCAATTAAAAGTATCCCAGGTTCTTCTTGCCTTGAGGAATTGGACAAGACAAGCCAAAAACAGTGACAAAATTTACTTGAAAAGTGAGGGGTGAACGGGTAAGGGAAAAACTAGCTCTGTAAAGTGAACTTGGGCTGAATAAAGGGAGGAAAAGATAAAAGCAAAAATAAAAGTGTACTCTGCATCTAAGAGACTGCAGCCTGTAAAAGACGCAGAGTGGGCTTCCGTGAGGAGTCATGGTAGCGGGCTCCTGGTGGTGTCTTTTTCATGCCGTCCACATCTCGTGGGAGCCCGCAAGTGATTCCACATACAGGGTCCTGGGAATTATTTAGCACTGTCCTGGAGGCTTGTAATTGACAGGTTCCATAGGGCTTCTCCAGGCCCTGTGTTCTATATCAACACCACACGTGGACTGTTGACATGGGTTTACTGTGGCATTTTCTGGCACCTGTCAGATGAGTCAGCAAAGAATGTGTGCTGCCATCTTCCCAGTCTCCAGCCGAGGAAGTACTCCATGAAATGGCATTAAATTCACCTCTCCCGTACTCAGAGTCCAGTCTTATAAGATTGGAAAGTATGATGACACAACTTAGTGATGCTGATTGACCAGCTGAACTCTGTATTAGTCAGCTTCCTGTCACGATAATGAAATATCTGAGGCAGTTGATTTATATAGAAAAGGTTAGTTTTGGCTCATGGTTCTGGAGGCTCCAGTCTATGGCCGAGTGGCCCTACTGTCTCGGGTTTCTGGTGAGGGAGCACACCATGGTGTGTGTGTGCAGAAGAGCACACCACTCACCTCATGACCAAGAAGCAGAGGAGAGGCAGGAAGAGGAAGAGGCTGGGGTCCCATACTCCCCTTCAAGGGCACGTCCTCAGTGACTACAGACCTCTAGTGAGGCCCCATCTCCTAAAGACCCTCAGCACCTCCCAATAACACTACTTTGGGG